TCACTCACCCTCACACACTCTCTCACTCACACTCACACACTCTCTCACTCACACACACTCACACACACACTCGCACACTCTCTCACTCACACACACACACACACACACACACACACACACACACACACACACACACACTCGCTCACTCAAACACAAACACAAACACACAACTCACGCTCAGCCGTTCCTCTCACTGCTGTTTGTCACCACAAGGCTTTTTTGTTTTGATGTTTTTCAGCTTCTTTTGATTGCGTTCACATATCCACACAGATGCACTTACAAAACCTAGTGAGCTGCTTATCTAGACAGCATTTCAAGTGTCCTGGATGTGAATTCTACTCCAAAAAGATGCTTCAGTTCTGGCAATCCAAGGCAGAATCAGATACATTATTCATAATTACAATCCCAGAATGCACTGCAAAAATGTATTTCCATAAGTACTTTTTTTTTTTACCAAATATTTGTGTGTGCCTTGTATTTTGGGGTCAGTTTATTTATTTATTTATTTTTAGAGATTAATAAACATTTTAGTTTGACCTTTGAACTGAATGACATAGAAACCATTTTGTTGTACTATGCATGATTAGTTTCCCTCCCCGCCCCCCACTATTTAATCTTGACAGCTTTTATTAGATTTTCCCCAATATTATTTTTATTTAAAGATATTTGATGCACCAAATTGTTGGAAAGTTATTCAAACTGATACTTTGTAACTCAAAGACGCATTCAATTCATCAAAAGTGTCACTAAAGACATTTATAATGTTACAGAAGATTTCTATATCAAATCAATGCTGTTCCTTTGAACTTTCTGTTCATCTGTGAATCCTGAAAAATAACATGTATGCTCAGCCATTCCTCTCACTGCTGTTTGTCACCACAAGGCTTTTTTGTTTTGATGTTTTTCAGCTTCTTTTGATTGCGTTCACATATCCACACAGATGCACTTACAAAACCTAGTGAGCTGCTTATCTAGACAGCATTTCAAGTGTCCTGGATGTGAATTCTACTCCAAAAAGATGCTTCAGTTCTGGCAATCCAAGGCAGAATCAGATACATTATTCATAATTACAATCCCAGAATGCACTGCAAAAATGTATTTCCATAAGTACTTTTTTTTTTTACCAAATATTTGTGTGTGCCTTGTATTTTGGGGTCAGTTTATTTATTTATTTATTTTTAGAGATTAATAAACATTTTAGTTTGACCTTTGAACTGAATGACATAGAAACCATTTTGTTGTACTATGCATGATTAGTTTCCCTCCCTGCCCCCCACTATTTAATCTTGACAGCTTTTATTAGATTTTCCCCAATATTATTTTTATTTAAAGATATTTGATGCACCAAATTGTTGGAAAGTTATTCAAACTGATACTTTGTAACTCAAAGACGCATTCAGTTGATCAAAAGTGACAGTAAAGGAATTTATAATGTTACAAAAGATTTCTATTTCAAATAAATGCTGTTCCTTTGAACTTTCTGTTCATCTGTGAATCCTGAAAAATAACATGTATCACAGTTTCCACAAAAATATTGTGCAGCACGACTGTTTTCAACATTGATAATAATCAGAAATGTTTCTCGAGCAGCAAATCAGCATATTATACTGATTTCTGAAGATCATGTGACACTGAAGACTGGAGGAATGATGCTGAAAATACAGCTGCGCATCACAGTATTGAACACATATTCAGATAGAAAACAACTTTTTTACATTGTAATAATATTTCACAATTTTTACAGTATTTTGAATCAAATAAATGCAGCCTCGGTGAACATAAGAGACAAAAACATTTTAAAAAATCTAAAAGTTTTGATTACTAGTAGGATGCCGTCTATGTAGACTGTAGACAGTGATGCTCACTAGGTTCTGGAACAGAGCGAGTGTGTTTTCGGCTCAGTCAGACACAAGGTGTGATGGGAAATGATCCGTCTCAGTGTGAGGATGAACTTGGGAACACGGCCAATCTGATGCATTTGACCAGAGAGTCCTTGACTGAAGAATACAGACGTGAAGATTTGTGACGGATAATCCCAGACCCCCGTTTGACCCCCTGTCACACACACACACACTCCTGATGTGCTGCTGCACGACTTTAAGCGTCCAGCTACAAAAGCCCGCTGACACCTCAGAGGAAGGGTCACGAGGAATTAATTAAAGTTCTTCCTCTCGCTCTCGTCTGTCAGTTTCCCGCTTTGATAATCCGTGATGTGGACACACACTCTTGTTGCCCGTCAGCTTTAATCTGGCACCTCTGAAATGTCCTTGGAGGAAAGCTGAAGGAAGTAAGCGATCAGTGTTAGAAGGGCAGCGGAGAGACGCGTCTGTGACCGGAGACATGAGAAAACACTTATTAATGCTCCTGTGGACAAACCGGCTTCACTACAATAAACTAGGAGCCAATCAAATGCTTCTCAGTTTATAATTCTGTAATGGAGTGAATTAGTGCCCACCCACTGTTACAAACAATGTTTTCCATTCATTTTTCACATAGGGATTAAAAAAAAAAGTCATTAAAGTGTTAAAAAACCATGAAGCAAACCAACCAGATTCAAGGTGCATCACAACATTACAAACTTTGATTTGAAGCAAAAAAATCAGACAGAAAGACAAAGATGCAAGACTTAACTTAAACGAGGGAAATAACTACTATTTCCTTTGTTTAAAGTTGTTGGTTTTCGACTATTAAACATGATTATTTTAAAAATAAGTTGAATTAATGCAAACTGATGGCTTCGACAAAGGCATATACCATTGATTAATAACCTCAGAGCTCACAGCAGTTCTGTTTTTAACAGTTTATACGTTATCATTAAAAAATCTGTTGCATATGGACAAAATGAGTGGATATTTTAGTTCTGGAATGCAACTGTTCCATTTGCTCTCTGCCTTTCTCTGATTGGTGGAGTTTTCTGTACAGCATCATGGGTAATGTAGGTTTTCACCAGGAATTAACACATGATTCTTTAAAAAAACGAAACAAAAGCATGTACCAGTGGTTAACAGCCTCGTAGCTCACAGTAGGTCTGTTTAAGAGCAATATTTAAAAGTTATTGTTAAAAATCAAGTTCACACATGCTGCTTTGGTGCTCAAGAAACATTTCTGATTATTATCAATGTTGAAAATGTATTGTGTCGTGCTGCACAATATTTTTGTGGAAACCGTGACACATTTTATTTTTCAGGATTCACAGATGAACAGAAAGTTCAAAGGAACAGCATTGATTTGATATAGAAATCTTCTGTAACATTATAAATGTCTTTAGTGACACTTTTGATGAATTGAATGCGTCTTTGAGTTACAAAGTATCAGTTGAGTAACTTTCCAACAATTTGGTGCATCAAATATCTTTAAATAAAAATAATATTGGGGAAAATCTAATAAAAGCTGTCAAGATTAAATAGTGGCAGCTGTGACAAATAGTGGGGAAAAAAATAAAACTTATCATGCATAGTACAACAAAATAGTTTCTTTGTCATTCAGTTCAAAGGTTAAACTAAAATGTTTATTAGTCTCTAAAAATAAATAAATAAGTAAATAAACTGACCCCAAAATACAAGGAACACACAAATATTTGGTATAAAAAAATCATTACTTTCCAATATGGAAATACATTTTTGCAGTGAATTCTGGGTTTGCAATTATGAATACTGTATCTGATTCTGCCTCAGATATATGGCCCTATTTTATCGATCTAAGTGCATGGTCTAAAGCGCAAGGCGGAGATGCACTTAGGCCGTGTCCGAATCCACTTTTGCTAGTTTAATGACAGAAAAAACGGTCGGCGCGCATGGTCTAAAAGGGTTGTCCCTATTCTCTTAATGAGTAATGGGTGTGTTTTGGGCATAACGTGCAATAAACCAATCAGAGTCTCATCTCCCAATCAAGTTGATTCACTATTTACACGGCGGAATTTGCAAGCGCAAAGACTGAATGCGTCTCCAGAGAGGAAACGGAGCTGCTCATGCGCGAGCAAAAAGTTAGCCTAATTCTGATACATGCAGTGACTATACATCATGACATGTAGGCATTTTTATATTTATGTAGCCTACACAATAATAATCTTTTACAGTGTAATCTTTTCATTTTTAATATTTGGGATGTTTGTGTGCTGCTGCGCGTCCCTGTGTGTGTAATAAGCAGAGTGTTCGCGCGTTGTGGACCCGCCTATAGTAACGCACTCTTTAAATAACAAAAAAATAATTCAATAAAAAATACTGCGTCATTGACTTTAGACCAGGTTTTAGTTGGTCAATGGCGCAGTCTATTTCAGTAGCCTCAAAATAACAGCGCGCCAACAATGCGCTTGAACACACCTCGTTTTCAGACCAGCACACCCATGGGCGCACAAATCGGAAAATGATAACTGCGTCGGGCTGAAGCTAGCAAAAATGTATGATAGGGCCCATTATGTTGCTTCTCTAATTTTACATGCAAGTATAGCCGAAATCACAAATTACAGTATGTGGGCACAGAGAGGCAAACAAATGTAATAATAAATAATAAATGTACATTTTGCATGTTCAGCAGAAGTAAGCTGCCCTGTCCTGCAAATCTAAACAGGCTTGTGTAAGTAAATTGCTCAGTGCAAAGAAAGTGAAGTAATGGGAACCTGGTATTTCTATGTTCTTTTTTTCATGTGTCTAATAGACATGAACAAGTTATTTGAAAAACATCTATACCTTTGAAACATGTCTTCATGCTCTATGTTGAGTATGGTTTCACTAATAATAAACATGCATTTGCATAAAGCATCCATATTTGTCCATGCCCATGTTGATTAGAGTTTTAAAAACTTGAAAATTATTAATTTAAAGTACATTTAGAACAGATTAAAATGTGTTATGAAGTTGTGATTAATCATGAGTTAACTCATGACAATCATGCAATTAATCGTTATTAAATATTTTAATCGATCGACAGCCCTAGCACAGACCTTTCATGGCTTTATATATATATACACCCTAGAGATGGTTGTGCGTGAAAATCCCAGTAGACCAGTAGTTTTTGAAATACTCAGACCAGGCCGTCTGGCACCAACAACCATTCCACATTCAAAGTCACTTAAATCCCCTTTCTTCCCCATTCTGATGCTCGGTTTGAACTTCAGCAAGTTGTCTTCACCACATCTAGATGCCTAAATGCATTGAGTTGCTGCCATTTGATTGGCTGATTAGCAATTTGTGTTACCAGGTAATTGAACAGGTGTACCTAATAAAGTGGCCGGTGAGTGTGTGTATATATATATTTTTTTTTTCTTACACCAGGCACCAGCACTCCACCAGGCATCAGCGCCACCGCTGTGCCCAGCATCGCAGCTCAGATCGGGGTGAACGGCTTCAGCGCTCTCCATCCCCAAACCAATGGACAGCCCTCCTCCGAACCCATCTACACCAACGGCATCCACCCGTACCCAGGTAACACCACTTATTCCACTTTACTCTGCTGGAAACAGCTGCATACTGGATGTCATGTCTTGGATGCACAACACATTTGGATTTGGAGCAACTAAAACCGTATTGAATCAGCATAAAACAACCAAGACTGGCACCACAAACATCCTGTCAGAGCTGCAGACACACTGAGCTGTGGTGCTGATGTAGATGAGACAGGTTCAAGTTTGGTTTCTCTCTTTTTACAATATTAGTCTACAAATACAAATGTTCCAGTTATTCCATACTGGATGTCATGCCTTGGATGCACAACACATTTGGATTTGGAGCAACTAAAACCGTATTGAATCAGCATAAAACAACCAAGACTGGCACCACAAACATCCTGTCAGAGCTGCAACACACTGAGCTGTGGTGCTGATGTAGATGAGACAGGTTCAAGTTTGGTTTCTCTCTTTTTACAATATTAGTCTACAAATACAAATGTTCCAGTTATTCCTAACCTGTTTAAAATGCACGTCAAATCTTTGTAATCATGCTGGTTTAAATAAATAAATGTGTACATAATATAATTAGTGCTGCCAAACAATTAATCGTGATTAATCACATCCAAAATAAAAGTTTTTGTTTGCATAATATATGTGTGTGTGCTTTGTATATTTATTATGTGTATATATAAATACAAACACATGCATGTGTATATATTAAAGAAAAATGTTATGTGTATATATATTTTCATTTAGCAGACGCTTTTATCCAACGCGACTTACAAATGAGGACAATAGAAGCAGTCAAAACTAACAAAAGAGCAACAATATATAAGTGCAAATGACAAGACTCGGTTAGCCTAACGCAGTACACTTAGCAAGGTGTGTATACTGTATGTGTGTATATATATTATACACACACACAAAGAAAAACAAGTTAATGCCTTGAATTTAATGCGAGCAGCTACTGGTAGCCAGTGCAAATTGATGAACAGAGGTGTGACGTGCGTTCTTTTCGGCTCATTAAAGATTAATCTTGCAGCTGCATTTTGGATTAATTGTAGGCCGGATCTTTGTATAAAGCAAATCTGCAAGACCGGGCAGTTTTAGCAATGTTGTCTGAGAATTTCAGCTAATCATCAAATCATCAATCAAGGTTTCTAGCTGTTTTTGAAGGAGTTATGGTTGATGAGCCTAACTGGATGGTGAAATTTTTATAAAGTGATGGGTTTGTTGAAACCACAAGCAGTTCTGTCTTAGCCAGGTTGTGTTGAAGGTGATGGTCCGTCATCCAACAAGAAATGTCTGTTAGACATGCTGAGATGCGAGCAGCTATCGTAGGATCATCAGGATGGAATGAGAGGTAGAGTTGAGTGTCATCAGCATAACAGTGATATGAAAAGCCATGTTTCTGAATGACAGAACCTAGTGATGCCATGTAGACCGAGAAGAGAAGTGGTCCAAGAACTGAGCCCTGAGGCACCCCAGTAGCTAGATGTTGTGACTTGGACACCTCACCTCTTCAAGATACCTTGAAAGACCTATCTGAGAAGTATGACTCAAACCACTGGCATGCGGTTCCTGAGATGCCATTTTCCAATAGGGTTGACAGGAGAATCTGGTGGTTAACTGTATCAAAAGCAGCAGACAGATCCAGCAAGATAAGTATAGAAGATTTGGAATCCGCTCTCTTTATATAATATGAAATATAAGAACATAAATATGTATATGCATGTAAATATTTCCAAAATATATACTGTATGTGTGTGTCTTTACATATATACATAATAAATATACACAGTACACATACATATATTATGTAAACAAAAACTTATATTTTGGATGCGATTTAATTGTTTGACAGCACTAATAATATAATATAATGTAATTTAATTTGTCAAATTGATCAGATTTTTTTTTATTCAAACTTATTTATCAAAGCAAAAAATATATATTCATCTCTTTTTACAATATTAGTCTACAAATACAAATGTTCCAGTTATTCCTAACCTGTTTAAAATGCACGTCAAATCTTTGTAATCATGCTGGTTTAAATAAATAAATGTGTACATAATATAATTAGTGCTGCCAAACAATTAATCGTGATTAATCACATCCAAAATAAAAGTTTTTGTTTGCATAATATATGTGTGTGTGCTGTGTATATTTATTATGTGTATATATAAATACAAACACATGCATGTGTATATATTAAAGAAAAATGTTATGTGTATATATATTTACATTTAGTCATTTAGCAGACGCTTTTATCCAACGCGACTTACAAATGAGGACAATAGAAGCAGTCAAAACTAACAAAAGAGCAACAATATATAAGTGCAAATGACAAGACTCGGTTAGCCTAACGCAGTACACTTAGCAAGGTGTGTATACTGTATGTGTGTATATATATTATACACACACACAAAGAAAAACAAGTTAATGCCTTGAATTTAATGCGAGCAGCTACTGGTAGCCAGTGCAAATTGATGAACAGAGGTGTGACGTGCGTTCTTTTCGGCTCATTAAAGATTAATCTTGCAGCTGCATTTTGGATTAATTGTAGAGGTTTGATAGAAGTGGCTGGAAGACCTGCCAAGAGAGCATTGCAATAGTCCAGCCTAGACAGAACAAGAGCTCGAACAAGGAGTTGTGTTGCATGTTCTGAAAGAAGGGGCCTGATCTTCCTAATGTTGTATAAAGCAAATCTGCAGGACCGGGCAGTTTTAGCAATGTTGTCTGAGAATTTCAGCTTATCATCAATCACAACTCCAAGGTTTCTAGCTGTTTTTGAAGGAGTTATGGTTGATGAGCCTAACTGGATGGTGAAATTTTTATAAAGTGATGGGTTTGTTGAAACCACAAGCAGTTCTGTCTTAGCCAGGTTGTGTTGAAGGTGATGGTCCGTCATCCAACAAGAAATGTCTGTTAGACAAGCTGAGATGCGAGCAGCTATCGTCGGATCATCAGGATGGAATGAGAGGTAGAGTTGAGTGTCATCAGCA